CGAGAAGTATTGATACAATAATCAAGCAGCTTAGACGGCTGGTATAAGTTCAGGAGGCATGACCTGCTATTTCTTTTGAACTGAAACTGCAGGCTTTCGACCAAAGACACGCTCGCGCATCAAATTACTCAGAATGAGTGTCAAATCTAATGATGAGGTCTTTCGACCGGCGTTCCCAGCTATCCCCGCCATGGAACGCCCCCCAACAAGTATTTTCACAATCCGTTGCAAGATCGTAGAAGAACAGTATAACTAAACAGATAATCTCTAGTGGTCTCTTACGGCTTACCATTCGAGAGAGCTAGCGTAAAGCACATAACCGGCACTTTCGGTTGCCGACGTATCTATATCTTGGCGTCCAAAGGGTTAGCTTCCCATTCGGACAGTCTCGAAAAGCTGGAAGCTTCTCTTCAGGATCATCATGCAGGGACATGGATGGGAATGCCAGCACACACGCCATACGATGCCTTGATCCCAATCTTACAAGATATCAGGAAGACGGCAGCCGATTGTATCGTCACCCTCGGTGGTGGCAGCTTAGCAGATGGGGCCAAAATGCTTACCTATGCCTTAGCTAATGGCATTGAAAGCGTGGAGGATCTCGTTCGCCTCGAAGCCTCTTATTTGAAACCCGACCTTGGAGCCATTGCTCGAGGTGAGGGTGCCTCTTTGGGGAACGCGCCGACGATCCCACTGGTCTTCATACCAACGACGTTGTCAGGCGCAGAATACTCCAAGTTTGCCGGCTGCACGAATCCTGCGAACCATATGAAAGTCCAATTTACTCATCCTGGTATGTTTGCCAAACTTGTCATTCTAGACCCAGAGCTGTGCCGTTCGACGCCTGACTGGGTCTGGCGCAGCACTGGAGTCAGGGCCATCGACCACTGCGTTGAGAACATATGCTCCTCCCGTCCAAAACCCGAGTCGGATGAGGCATGCTTGGAGGGGCTTGGTCTATTGACAAAGTCGCTGCTTCGACATGTCAAGGAGCCGAATGACATGGCCGCACGGCTTGATGGTCAACTGGGCTGCAACAAAGCGATGACGGGTCTGGCGGTGCATGTACCATGTGGCGCTTCACATGGTATCGGCCATAACCTTGGGCCACTGGGTGTTGGTCACGGCCAGACGTCCTGTATTCTTCTTCCATCGGTCATGAAGTACAACGCATCGGTCAATTCGCAGCGCCAAACAATCATAGTGGATAAGCTGTGGTCGGAGCCCGAAGTCGCTCAAGTATTGAACAAGCACGGGCTGGCTCAGGGCGAAGTCGACGCAGGCGATATGCTCCGGGCCATCTTTGACGAGCTCAATATGCCTAAGAGTCTCGAGTCGGTAGGAGTGAGCAGGAAACAGTGGGAGATCTTGGCGCGCAACAGTCTCGCTGATGGTTTCTGCCATGCCAATGCAATTCCACTTCTTCATGCCCAGCAGGTCAAGGATATCCTCGAGATGTGCTCGGACCCAGCGGCGCAATGAGATGAAGGGCACCAGAGCCTGGTTAACCATCGGCCCGGAAACTCAGCTAAAGCCTCAAGAGACGGGCTAGGTCTCCTACAGATACAAAATCGAAGAATCTCATTCTTCCAACAAATAAGACCTATGCAGAACACGTGTCGTATTGAATACAAAACGACCCATTTCGAACTTACCATGCCAATTACCACCGTTAACCCTTCTTCTCCAAACGCCTATGGGCCTTCAGAGACTGCCCTTCTTCTCCTCGATTGGTACTCTCTCTTTGTCGAGAGTCGCGCTGGTTCAGGCGCTGGCGCTGCCCTAGACATCGCAATCCAATTCCGCAAATGGGCCAAGCTGCAAGGCATCGCCGTCATGCACTGCCTCATCGACACCCATGGCACACCCACGGCACACCCTTCCCGCCTGCAAAGGCGTAGAGAGCTTTCAAGACCTCTTGGAAATTCTCAAGACTTCGAAATGTCCCGAGCCTTTTGAATTGTGCGATGACGCAGACTCTGAGCTCGCCTTCTACCCTATTCTCGGGCACCTTTCGGCACTCAAATCTCCTAGCTTACTGGAACATCTGAGAGATAAGGAGATCAAGTCTCTTGTGATCACGAGACTAAGGAGTTCGGGTTGCGGACTGAGAATGACGGACGCAGCGACGGATGCCGAATTTGCAACAACGGTGATTGACGATGCGTGCGCCGACGCTGACGAGGAATTATAGTCAAATTTATACACAAGCTCTAACTCCAAAATTGATAAACAATTGAAAAAAGATATAATAATGTATTAATATTACATATCTTAGTAGTTATAAGTTTATAAAGGTAATAGCGGAATAACTATAGCTAATTTCAAGTTTGAATACTATGATGAGGAGTCAGTATTCCAGTCGATGCCTTCATATTTAAGACTTCCTGCACATTAAGGGGCTTTATCGGTATTAGTCCAGTACCTTCATTGCTGCTTAGTCCAAAATCTGGAAATCGGCAACAACCGATATCGTATACAGTACCATGTGCATGATTGCCTTAGTCACGATGCATCCGCAGAACAACTCAGCGTTTTTCAGGAGCGTGTCGAAACTATCGGTACACTACATTTTGATTTTCGAAAGATGTATGTTCTCTTTAACATCTCTTCATCTAGGAGCAAAGCAGTCCTAATATCTTCAAAGTTCACCCTGCCAAGTTGTGATGGGTGATGACCAATCTACATCTGGCAACTGAGGTGCGTTTCAGCGGGCGGTTGAGATTATCACATGGGTAGTTTGGGCCAACAAATGGCTTGAGAAAAAGAACAGCGGGCGTTTCGCTCCCAAGACCAGAGTTGTGTGCACGCAAATGTTCAAAGAGAAAGTTTCCCCGGTATTCTCAACACTGGCCGAAGGTGCAGATTTGTGCAGTACATTCCTGATAAGCCTTGAATATCTTCGAGGGCTTGATTCTTAGCGTCAAAACGAAGTTGCCTGAAGTTGTCCCGGATGCTTGGGTGCTTGTGGAGAGTGAACCCATCTTGAGCCCTTGATATTTCAGGTAGCTTAAATGAACGTAGCCCACACCGAGCTATCGTGTGATGTTCTTGATGTATTTGTTGACGCCCGAAGAAAACTTACTCTTTTGGTTTTGACGACCTTCTGAAGAACGCAGTCAAGATAGTTCTTTGCCTTCTTGAGAGTGACTCCCATACCAGACCAAATAGAAACACGATGGTCATTGTCAACCAAGGTAGCCATACGATGTCAGTCCACCTCAGGAGAGGGAGGCAAGTCAGGCAGCAAGCAAAGGTGATGTGAATCTCCGATACAGAAGTTGACATCACAAGGCGCGAAATATACAAAAAGATATGCGTCAATCGCTGACGGGAATTGAGCCCGACGTGGCTGGTGGGAGTTAGTTATTTGTCGGTATCGTGTACGATGGTTTAAATATGCTTACGGGTCGAACCCACAACCTTGAGATTAAGAGTCTCACGCTCTACCGATTGAGCTAGCCGGGCAGACAAGTCTGAATTTGACTGGTTGATGGAAAGACCGAGGATGGTAGAGATTGAATTTCGAATGTGAAAAATTGGTGGTATTGGTGGGATGGGGACGACAAAATTTGCATGCCCCGAAGCAAGCTCCACCCGGAGGCTTCGGGTCGGCTCCGACACAGACCCAGTCCGCTTCCGGCACGGAGCCTTGGCAACTCAGTCAACTCGAAGAATGAGAGAAAAAGCGAAATCACTATCACTTGTAGGTGATCTGGAACTTTATCTCATGTGCAACCACCTTCCCTAGTTACCAGACCAGCTGGCACCACTTGATTTGACCCTTGAGCACAACATATTCAAACTCTCTCTCGAGTCTCTAGACCCGGCCTCAGTAAAACCGGGTCGACGTGTAGAATTTGTGATCTGAAGAAGTAGCGAGGTAATAATAGAATCTCTCAATTTTCAATCAGTTGCTCCTTCCCGCCTGGTGGCCTGCCAGAGTGCCGGTCAGTGTGATAACTCACGAGTCTTGATACTATTCGTTCCTACTTTGATCTCAACTCAAGTTTCTACCAGGACGAATATTTGTTTCTAGCTTGAGTCTTCATTCTGTGGTGTCATGGGGGAAAAGACTGTCCAAAGGAGATCGTAGAGTGAGATCTATCGCAGTAGTTAGGCTCGAGATTCAAACCAGATAATGGGTCTTCCGATTTTGAAATGAGGTCGATGCAAGGATGCTTCATCCTGTGTTAGTTTTTCGAGGCGACGCCACGACCAGCTTGGCTTTGTTGTTTTCTGCTACAAACTTTTCTGAGGAGATGTCATTATCAGAGAGCAAATGCAGGCAATGAGTTATACCCGCACTCGGTCAATGTTAGCCTTTCCACGACTCAAACGCGAGCGAATGACTCGGAGAATGCTGACCATGGTCCTTCCATGCCACCTGCCCACCAACTTGAAATCGAACACAGCGTGGGAAAACACGTTGCATGTAGTAACAGAGTGTTCAATGTTGTAAACCTACCTGACTACAGAGGACAATCGCACGGCATTCTTAGACATTACCATCTCTCACACCAGTGCTTAGAATAACTGCCCAATTGCGTCGAGCAACTCTTCCGCAATCCTTCAATGCAATGATGTGCTCTGCCCCTTCGGGCCCCCTCGCGCCCTCGGATTCGCTGAATTCCATGCGTTGTGGGCTGTGTTGCGTTCAAACAGGCTTAGAGCGACCCCGCATGCTGAGCACGTCAGTGTATTTCGGTGGGAAAACTGGGGTTTCCGGGGCATATTATCCTCGGTCTCTTCCGGGTTCCGCATCCCGGTCCGCCGTTGAGTCTCGACAATGAAGTTTTGATGCAAGAGCCCCGCGGCGGTTGAGTTTCTCTTCAACCCTACGCCCTGTCAAACGGAGGAGACCGAGACACGATGCCGAGCCCCAGTCCGGTCGCCGAACCTGAGCGGGCACCGATATCTAGACCCCGGTGCTTGACATGTAAGCGCCGAAAGGTAATTGAAGCATCCGCATTGTGGCCCTCCCGTTCCCGCCTCTGCACATGATGGGCAAGCATACTGACAATGGTCAGGTCAAATGCACTGGGGGTCCTGAACCATGTGAGAACTGTCGTCGACTAAGACTTGACTGTACATTCAACTACTCGGAAATCTACCTGTCACCAGAAGTCCCGAATCCACAAGGACTTTCAGCCCCGACAGACGCGCTGACGGAAGCCGGGACCAAACGTCGGCGCATCGCGGCCGCATGTACGGAGTGCCGTGTTCAAAAGGCGAAGTGCTCCGGTCATCGCCCGCAATGCTTCCATTGCAATCGGAGGAACCTATCATGTGTATATCCATCATCGGCATCAAGGCGTAAGAGCAGACATGTCAGCGGACAACAGCAACAGTCTGCTTCTCCAGAATCAAGCAGCACTCTCAGCCAGAGCGCCTCCTATGAGGCAGAGTCTACACTGAACCAACGGTACGGCGTCGGCAGGGTATCTCTGAATACTGCCCTAGATCACGCTCTCCTCAGTACAGACGTGATCCGTCAGCATCTCGAGGCGTACTTTGACCACGTCTATCCAATAGGCCATGATTTCTTTCACCGGCCATCCGTAATGGAAGAATTTTATGCCGGAAAGCTACCGCCCATCCTTTGCACATCGATATGCGCGACTGCAGCAATGTTCGTCTCCCGCTCGCGCGAGTCGCGAGTCCTATCCGTCCAGTGGGCTAAAGAAGTAGACGCCTACATTTTCGGCAACCTCAATGTCTTCAAGGTGCTCAACATCCAGCTTCTAATCCTCTCCATGTTTCAAAACTTCGCCTACAGGCAGTTCGGCAAGATGTGGCTGCTCATCAGCATGGCCGCGAGGTTAGCAGTCTCATTCCAACTCAACGACGAGAGACCAGCCGCTGAGAATGATACCACCGCCGCGCTCATCAAGCGTGAGTGTGAGCGGCGACTGGTGTGGCATGTGTGGAGTATGGATAAGATGCTCTCGGCGGGTCTGGATGAGTTCACCTCGTTGCCAGATCGGTGGATGAGGACTTCGTTACCGAACTCGGAGCATGCTTTCTGTCATGGGCTGATGAAGCCAACGGGCAGGCTAAGTGACGGTGTGGAGGCACTCGCATCTCATGAAGCTGGGCCTAATGCCTACTTGATCATGCTATTGCCGCTTCGCTGTGAGATACTGCGGTAGGCATTTGGAAACCTTCCTTTCTCAATGGCAAAGTTTTTACTGACGCCCACAGGTTAACAAAGAGAATCGTCATAGATAGTCACTCAGACCACTCTCCAGCAGCGGTCTCCAAAGCAGTCACAACCATGAAAGACCTACGTGACCGTTTACGATTCTTCCTCAAAAATACACCAAAACACCTACAACTGAGTGAGCTCAACATGTTCTCCCATTCAACCACATCAGAGTTCTCATCTTACCTCACTCTCAACTCGTGGTACCTCCAGTGCGCCTGCGACCTCTTCCGCGTCGCACTCCCAGCCGCGTACAGAGAGAGCGCATCGCCGAAATTCCTCGCGAGCGCCCCGCCAGACTTTGTATCGGAGTGGCGCGCACTTGCGGTATCCCACGCTCTACGTCAAGCGAGACTGTGGGAGCATCTCCAGAACCTTCGAGCCAAGGGTGCCCTGCAGTCAAAGCAGACGCGTATCCCCCTCCGTCTGGGGTACGGTAGCATGGTCCACCAGTGTACCAAAACTCTCCTCACGGCGCGACGGTGCAAGCTGTATGATGGCCTTATCGACCCGATCACCGGCGAGACGGCGGAGCTCAATGACGAGGCAGTGGAGGCTCTGTGCCAGAGCAACATCACCTTGCTGGACGACATGGCCAAGATCGTGCCCATCATCGCGGTACTACAGCAAGACGTCGAAAAGATGGTCGAAGCCGATAAAAACAGAAGACAAAACGACGCAGAGGCACAGGAGCTCGCGCCAGTCAGCAGCGAAGTCCAGCGGAACAACTTGCTGAGCAGATATCATCCGTTATCTCAGAGCTTCGACAGCAACGCCAAGACTGCGGACGAAGTCGCGCTACAGCACTCCGACCCTCCTCAAACGCCTTCGATCCTCCAGACTTCAGAAACGACGGACATGCCAATGACGGACTCTGTCGACATCTACCCGGCCTCTCTAGCCAGTGCGGCTGGTCTCAATGACATTGGCTCCAATCTGGATGGGCCGCTTACATGGTCCGGTTTTGCAGAAAACCAGCTGGCACCAGATTACTTTGTAGCCCCTTCGCAGTTCGACATGAGTGGTGAGCTGAGTTGGTTTTTGTCGGGATACATGGATCCGGATCCCGCCAACGTCTGAGAAAGCGCAGGCATGAGAATAGCAACCTAAGTTATAATTTGAAGACAATCGTACTTTCCGGATTAGACCTGCACAGTAGATGCCATACGACATATCCAACGACGGAGAATTGCAGCCGGAACAACCACACTTTCCCGAAATTCAGAAGTTAAGACCTACTTACTGAGCTAGCCTCAAGCTGGCCAGCCCAAGCACGCAAGACGGGGCCAAGATGATGTATAGAAGAACGAGTGGGTCTCCACCGCATCTCGCCGGATCTCGCTCGCACCACCTCGCGGAACATCTGACCCCTACCAACACCGCATCCGCCGAGATCCGCTGTCACGAACCACCTGCAAGCAGTTTGCAACTCGCTTTCTCCAGACTTTCTATGCTTCCAAAGTCTCCACCACGAAGCACTAATCACGAATCCCACGTCCCTGGCTTCGGTTTACTATTAGCGTCGTGACATGGCGACATACCACAGATGCTTGTTAGTGCAGCAAAGGCTCGAAAATGTAACCGCCATATAACTCAACTCCCTCCCACCCCGACTTCGAAACTACGATGAACGACGTCGAATCCCTGGATCAATTCGAGCTCATTCGATAATCATCATCTATCATGGGCATCAAATCGGTGACACAGCACTTCAACAAGAGGCTCTTTGCCTCCGTGTTCCTCATTGCCGTGTCGCAGTTCAACTATGGCTTCGACAATCAGGCCTTCACCTCGACACAGGCCATGGACGCCTTTGAAAGGCAGTTTGGCGAGTACGACGACGCGACAAGGCAGTGGAAGATTCCGACATACTTCTTGTCGTTGCTGAATAGTCTGAATTACATTGGCTTTGCTGCCGGTACGTTGATACCCTGGAGACTTACAGCTCGGGTGCTCGAGGGCAAGTGGATGATGATGGCCACTAACATGGTATCTCAGGCCTTGTGATTGGAAGTCTGACTAGTGCACGCTTCGGTCGTCGCACGACTATGATCGTTATGAGCGTATACGCCCTGATTAGTGCCACGGTCGTGGTCACATCCACGACGAAGGAACAAATTCTTGTAGGCAGAATCCTGAACTGTATGAGGAAACGTAACCCTAGCTGCGGACCACTCATTGACAGGTTACAGATGTCTACGTTGGATTCGAACTGGCTGTGGTTCCCGTATATCAGTCAGAAATCGTCCCCGCTCCAGTTCGAGGAATGGTCGTTGGAACATACCAACTCTCCATTGGCGTACGCACACCTCCATGACACGACCCCCTATTCCGTTTAGCAGTTGCTGATCCCCAGAGTATAGCTTGGTGGCCTTGTCATCAACTCCATCTGCCGAGGAACATCGAGCTTCCAAGACAGTCGAGCCTATAGAATCCCCTTCGGCCTCTTCTACGTTATCCCATCAATTGTACTAGCTTTAATCTGGTTCATTCCAGAGGTAGACTTACCCGAAGCTTCCCATCCTTCATCTTGGCTATCTTGACCTCCTAACTCCTTCACTAGTCTCCCCGCTGGCTCCTTCTCCGAGACCGCGTCGAAGAAGCCAGAAATGCCCACCACCTCCTCCGCGAAGGAACCATGTCCGAGAACGACATCTCCAACGAGTTCGCAAAGATCCAACAATCCCTCCTTGATGAACCCGAGCAAGGCCGTACAAAGGAGCTCTTCCAGGGCGTGAACCGCAAACGCACCGCCATCGCCGTCGGCATGTCCTTCTTCCAGCAGGCAACGGGCCAGGCGTTCGCATCGCAGTACGGTGCCGTCTGGGTAAAGTCGCTTGGCACTTTAAACCCGTTCGATGTCACGCTGGGGTCGTCGGCGCTGACGACGGGGTTGATTATTACGTGTTTGTTCTTGACGGATCGGGTTGGGCGACGGTAGGAGAGCTTACTCTTCACTGATGCTTGATGTGATACTAACATTCTTTGCAAGCAAAATTCTACTTGTTGGTGCTGCGGTTCAGACAGTTGCACTATACACGATGGCCGGCCTCGGCGTACCAAGGCCTGTACCCAACGCCAATAAGTCAGGCATGGTCGGCATGCTCCTTCTATGTAAGAATGATTCAAATCCAAAACCGACGATGAGTACATTCACAGTCTACTAACCCTCCCCACAGTCGGCGCCGGCTTCGGTCTAGGATGGGGTCCCCTAACCTACGTAGTGGTGACCGAAGTCCCAGCACTCCGCCTCCGCGACCGTTCTCAGCGCGTCTCCTCTCTCGTCAACATCTTCATGAACTTCCTCGTTAACTTCACCCTGCCCTATCTCCTCAACGCACCCTACGCCGCGCTACAGAGCAAAGTCGGCTTCATCTTTGGCAGCATCGCCGTCTGCTCGGCGTTGTTTGTCTTTTTCTGTGTACCAGAGTGTAAGGGGAGGAGTCTGGAGGAGATTGATCGCATGTTTCACGACGGCGTGCCGGTGAGGCACTTTGGAGATTATCCGAGATCCGAGGTACAGATCAACGCGGCCAAGGTCGTTGATGAGGAGGATGCTGGTGATAGGCAGCATGCACCAGAGGAAGTCAAGTGAAAGGATAACAGTAAAAAGTTGAGAATGAGGGTGGATTGAGATGCCCACCGGTAGCCCTCGACTCGGCAACTCGAGTTGGTATCCGTGTCGAGGGCGTGCCAAGTACTGCTCGCATGGAAGTAGACATTTTCGGGATCAAATCATACATCTTTGCAGCTAACCCAAAGTTTCTCGGTCCTCGGCGATCTGTTTACCATTGTAGAACTGTAGAAATGTTCGATCCCACGTGCACACCCCATTGTGTACCCCACGGCATGTTCTTCCGAGAAAACATCAAAGTTTGATAGCGTGTTATTCACCCTTTGGATGACACAAATCATCCCACATTACTTTCCGTTAAACCTTGCATATTGGATCATCACAAGACCCTGCCCACCTCCTTTTGGACCGCTTGACTCGTCGTTTAATCAATCTTGCGATTGGGTATCTTTCGATTGATTAGGATCGAGGCACAATTCGGGCCCTCCCGCCCCCTTAACCATACATCTGGCTAGACTGGGCTATTGTTGTTGGCATTAGGAAGGGCCGGATTGGCTTCGGTTCGGACGGTTTCTGTACCCGCTCTCTGCGAGATCGACGTCTCTGACGATGTAACTTCGGCTCGTACCCCAGCCGAGCAGGCATAACTAATCAGTGTCTTTCATCGTCAACATGCTGGTAGGTTGTTACAACGCATTGCCGCTCAACCACTGCGACGTGGAGGTGGACTTTCTGAATCTGTTGCTGCATTTGCTTCGTTTCGACATGCTCTCGGATGCCCAGCCGATAAGGACGTGCTTTGAAGCTTATGCGTCCGAGCCCTTGCACTGCTATGCCCAGTTCTCGGGACTGATGCCGATGTTACCCACACTCCAGCGATCTAAGTCCATGTGGCCATCCTCGTCACGCTCCTTCTCGTCTATTGGTCGCGCAAACTCAGTCAAAAACCGTAACATCCACCGATCCATGCGATAGCTGGTGTTCATACTCTTGCGACATAGCTCATGGAACGTCTTGAGCCGTGCGAAGCACACCTCCAGTGCTGGCCAGTACGCCCGCAAAGCGACGAGGGTATTGAAATGACGCTCTAGCGTAGCACGGGCATTTGCAATCTCAGCTTCGTCTGTCTCGAACAGCAGAGTGTGGATAAAGATTGAAGATGTGATGACAATGATGTGTCCGAGCATGTTGAATTTGGCGTCACAGCCAGGTGTTGTGTTTGCGAGATCGATGATACGTGACATGGAGATAGCGTTCTCCTTGCATTTGCGCGCGAACATCTGTGCTGTTGGTGAAGTAGGGAAGCGCTGAACTTCATCTAGGTACTGGTAGTACAGTAGTTGACTGTAGTGATAGTGGCCAGTGTGCACGGCAATGAAGATCCGCCCAAGGCCTTGAGAGGCGAAGGCATGGAGGTTACTTGGGGTATCGCGAAGATTATGGGGTAGGGCCACCTCCCAAGCTTCCAGCTCTTGCGACAGTTGAGACACAGTCTCGTCGATATTGGTCACGTCAACGTCAGATGTGAGACTCTTGATGGCGTCATTGACCCTCATCAGAATGCTGTTCAGCTTGATCATTTGTGCGATCAGTGAGTCTTCACGATTTGGTGAGAGAATGAAGTCAAAGTGGTTGTTGTTTGCCCGGGTCATGTTGAGAAAAGTTGACTCGTTCATGGGCAACGGGACATCCATTCGACGGTCCATGAGGCGTGGTAGATTGACACCAGTGGATGACCACACGTCGATCATACAAAGAGACCAATACACTTTAAACGGTCAGTATCAATACCGTGGCATACTTCATAAGGCGGATTTTCTACCTCTGATGTGGATCTCTCTCTGGAGCGGATCTGGGGTTGGCAGGTTGGGTAGATCGAGATAGTTGGCTATCCTGCAAGCCGCCGAATAGAAGATGGTTTCTGCTCCAGCTTCGCCCTCCACGATGGAGTACGCGCCCAGCAACACGCATGCTTGTGCCGTGGTAAGTGAAACGTCGCGCAAGTTGAGTAGTAGATTTCCCTCATTGGCAAAAAGCTCGCCTCGCGACATAGGTGATATCCCGTTGAATATGGAATTCGACGAAAATCGCGCTGACAATGCCATCATTCCGTAGACAAGTACCAGAGGGGCGGTTCCCTCGTGTAGATCCAGCATAAAGCTGGGCCTGTGGAAGAGGGAGTGAAGCTGATCGTGGATGTACTTGAAGTACAACTCCACAAGCTCGAAGCAGAGCGCCTTGTCTGCAACAGCAGCTGAAGGAGTGATGCCTGGCGGGCTGGAAAGGATGATCTCGGTGACTGTCGGCGTCTTTGGTGTTGTGATGGATATGGGGCTGATGGGAGCCGCCTTGGGCTGAATTATGGTACCAGCCCTCGAGCAGGCAATGTTCTGGGCCGCACAGTAAGTGCACTGCCCGCCACCGATAGGAACCTCGCATTTCCTCCGCCGTGCGCTGTTATGCTGTCAGTAGTGATGCCACTGATGCGCCTCGAAGTCGATGAACG